GTCCCCACACTCTACAAGCACGCTCCTCCCTGCAAAATATAAAATTTCACTCTATCGAGGGTTAGATGTCTCAAGACGATACCTCCTTAACCGATTACTACCTTAACGGAAATTGAAAAGCTCACTCGAACTCTGAAATAATGCTCAGAGTCACTCTCAAGTGTCAAAAGACTTCCAAGAGAGTAGAAGGAGTGCAAGAGTATAAAAAATTGTGTGAATGAGGGGGGAGGCTCCTATTTATAGGAATTTGCACCAGGCAGGCCGGGACAGCCATCTGGACTTCTGACAGGGGAGACGATCGTCTGGGAAAACGAGACTGCCGTCTCGACCTTTAGGAAGGCGAGACCGCCGTCTCGACCTTAAGGAAGGTGAGACCGCCGTTTCGACCTTTAGGAAGGCGAGACCGCCGTCTCGAGCCTCCTGTCATATTTTCCTTTTTTTTCTTATTTTTTGTGTACAGAAAGTCCTCCTATCCTTACATGGAGCCTAGTGAGCATGCCTAGGGGCCTAACGAAGCCTTGTCCATCTTCGAACGAAGGTTTTCTGGTCTTTATTGAGAAGCCGATCAAGATTTGGGGTCTACAATCATATTCGTAATATAGTTCATTAAAAGTACCACACCAAACGAAAACAAAATATTCAAAATTCAGTTCATCAGATCTGTTAAGTAGCTTAATTATTTTTTTAACTATGCAATAGTACCCCATAAAAAATAACAAAAGTTGTTGAGTATGTTTTGTCAATGACCCTAACCCTAAGTTTGTACCTGAAGTTCATAAGCAATGATATATTATTTGGAACAATTTTATAAATACACTGAAATATGACAGTAAAAAATTAACATTGATTAGTACCTAGGCATGACTTTCATGACATGTTTATTACATGTTTCACATAAAAACATTATGGAATCTGGATATACTGCTTTGTTGCATACACAAGCTATATACCACCAATCATCATCATGAACAATATGTTTTAGAGTGTCGAGAATTACAAAACTTATTTCCTGTAAAATTGAATGTTCGAATGTGAGCAATAGTAATTAAAATTAAAATGAATAGACAATGACTAATATGAATATTACTAATTAACACGAATGGACTAATGAATAGACCAATAATCACTATGACACTTGTTTATGTTGGGTCTTTCGAGGGAGATTTACTGGGAAGAACAACATCAATGAGACATGAGCTCAACCCATATAAGGGATTGACACCACTCTCAACTCAAATCCTTAAGACATTAGGTTATGGGTCATACTTCCTTATATGTTGCTCAACTTTTTCATTCTTACTCAATGTGGGACTTAACTCACACTTGAATTCTGTTGAGTAATAAAATTTTGTTGAGTTTGTTAGTGGATGTAGGCAAGAGGTTCCGAACCACATTAATTTCTGAGTTTGTTTTTCTACTTTATTTTTCTCATCTGTGTGCTTCCGCAGGTGAAGATTTCTTTTTCTCTCTGGTACGCAACAGTGATATCAAAGTTGTTGGTGTGGTGGAACTCTATGGGATTCTTAATTCTTAGTATGCTTTGTGGATGCAATATTAACTGATCTTCCACATCAAAAAAGAATTGAGGTTCTGTCCAAGGGAGAAAGAAAAGTAATGTACCTTAGAAGAAGAAAATCCAACTGAGGTGATAAGGACGTTGAAGGAGAGTCAACAAATGATAGGTGGTGATAAATCTTCTGAAAACAGTCAGATACTGCTAACTAAAAGCGAGCGAGGAAATAGGAAGTATGACGTCTTCCTGTTAGAGTGGGTCAGATAAGCGTGTCCCGTTAGAGTGAACGGCGGTACATGGAAGGTCCATTAGTGAGCTCGAGGGGATGTACCAATGTGAAGAGACTAAACTTGAGGGGGAGATTATTGGGTAATCCAAGTGTGAGTTAAGTCCCACATTGAGTAAGAATGAGAAAATTGAGCAACATATAAGGAAGTATGACCCATAACCTAATGCCTTAAGGTTTTGGGTTGAAAGTGGTATCAATCCCTTATTGGGTTGGGCTCATGTCTCATTGATGTCGTTCTTTCCAGTAAATCTCCCTCGAAATACCCAACAGTTTACAACCTTTTAAATCTTCTATTGTATGTTTGGGAGTATATTGAAGAAACTCATCTTCATTCATTTGTTTAGAAGAGTTAGAAAGTTGGCTTAACCCTTGGGTAGGTGACTCCATACTCTGAGACATCTTGCATTCAACAAAACATGCAAAGTTAAATGAACATTTTAATTGGTTAACATTTAAAGTAAAATTCATGATTTACACCTTTTTTAAGTTGTATAACTTCTTCACACTGAACATTGAAAATGATCCTTGTACAATCCGTACAATTTTGTACATATATTTTATTTGTAAATAATATATAATATAATGTCAATAATTGTAACTAATTACAACACAAACATTTTATTTACACAATAAACATACAAAGTAATTTACTTAGGAAGATTTTGACCTTGACGAATTGTATGATTATGACAGGATTTTGAATATTTCAAGATGGATGGAATGCATTTAGGTCATCAACATACTGCCCAAATAACGTACACTCTACTCTAAAACTAAGTTGGAAAAATAAGAGATGTTAAGAAAATATTTAGTTGAGCAATAGTAAATCCTTAAGTATCAATAAATCAGTTAAAAGGGCTTTCCCCCATCAACCTCTAAGTATATCATGTTCAATTTTGGTTTTTTATCATTCTTGTCTACCTCTCTTTCTGTACCAACTTTGTAAGTATTCCCATGACATTTGTTTGTGAAATAAGATTGCATGTGAGCAATGTCATATACTAAATATTAAATAGTTCATGATAAAAGATAGTATTTAATATCATGTTATATGCACTTACCAACCAAGTAGTTTGTGTCAAATCCGGGAGTAGTAATAAGTGATAACGGTATACATTGACCATTATTTTTAGTTATAACATGACAATCAACTAAATATACTTTGGTTTCAAATTGGAAATTTATTTTGTATGGGTGGTAGGTGATTTTATAAGAACCAGCATTTGACCCAAGACCAAAATTTTAAATAGAGTAAACACATCCCTTAGTAATTTTATTTTGAAATTTATAGATCAAAGGCCTCCTAACAGATGCCTGAATTTTGCTACCCTACCCTACAAATGAAAGCACAAATTAAGATAATGAAAGCACAAATGAGTGAAATTTAGAGTGTATCCAAAGTATGATAGTGGAACCTACCTTCATATCTTATATAACAAATTCCATGAAAAATAATAATTTGTGTTTAGTGAGATCTGAAACAAACTACAGGCGTATAACCTTTGTCAATATATTCCAATTTTCTTTTTCAGCATTGTAAATAAACAAAATAAAAAATCAAAATTGATAACTTTGAATGGAAAAACCTTAAATAAAATGAAATTGGCAAGAAAGAAGCTAACTTTTTTGAAATATAATATTACACTGAAATACGTATCAAAATGTGAAAGAAGCTAACTTGTTTTACAAAATTGAATGAAAAAACTTTAGATCCAAAAGTAATTCGACAAGAAAAATAGCATAACATATCTCAATCCTTACAAATATATGCATCTATAGCTTCTCGCATATAAACATGCTAGTCGAGGGAAGACAGACAACGTAAGAGTTGTAGTATTATTTTTGAAACATTGATTTTACATAGAAGAGAAAATATTGAGTTTAACTGTCTCAACTTGCAGCACTAACGAGAGATAAAGTTTATCTGAAAAAATGGAGCATTTCAATCGAGACATGAAAGATGAAAACTCATGAAGACATGGAGGAGCATTTCCAACCTTTGTTTTTTATTTAAAAAAGTATGGTCATGACACGTTTTATTATAGATTACTAATCAATAATATTTTACATGAAGTGTCAATTAATTCATATAATTGGTTTTAGTGTTTGGCCAATTTCTTTTTATACTAACAGTAAGTATTCATATTAATAATTTGATATGAAGAGTGGGAGTTGTTCGATAACTTTTTTTTAACTTCTAAATTTGTTCTAGTGTCATTGATTTCTAAGATTGTATTTTTATTTACAAGTAAATATCAAAATATATTTTTAAAATAAAATGTTTTTAAAATTAATTCTCATAAAACTATTTTTAAATTAGATAAATTTATATAATAATAATAAGTGATATCATTTTTCTGTGATAATTATTTTTTTAATTTATTTATATTAATCACCACTGACTCAAACCTGTAGATTTTTTTTTAAAATATAAGAAATAACGTGCGTGATATTTTTTTTATAACAATAAAAAAAATCTGACATCCATTCAAAAACGAATTTATCAAATATTATTTATATTATATATATATATATATATATATATATAAAAAAATATATTATAATAACAATAAAAAATATAGTCTATATATATATATATATATATATATATATATATAAATAGAATTTTAAATTCTTATCTTGGATAAAAGAAATTTATAATTTTAAATAATTAAATTATTTTAATAAATTTACCCTTACGTAATAACAACTATGGCGGAGGATAAAGAGAAAAGATCGAGGTATATAAAATAAAAGAAAAAGTTATAATACCATGACACATGCAAGTCTTGAAACACCCCATCATCATCATCAAACATACATGATCATTTAAAAAAAAAAAATGATAAAAGTTACTTTTATAATAAAATATAATATAAATGGATGTAGTGATTTGGATACTGTAGTTAATCAATGTTTAAGTTATTTTTCAATGTAGGGCGCCATCAGAACAATTACCCCTCACCATATGTCGCACACACCACACCACATTAGTAACTTCACAATATTAAGTTAGAGAGTTCATTGCATTCCCACTGTCACTATAAAATTACAACTACACTTTCCAAAGTTCCTCCCTCAAAATTCAAATAAAATACATAACATTAGCACTGCACCAAATGTTCAGCATTGTTCCCAAAAATGGTTTATTCACACACTCTCTCTACTCTCTTATATTTTTATAGGGGAAATGTCTATTCACAATGCCAAAAGCATGCCCCCTAAAACAGCGGTGGCAAAAGACCACCACATATCAACTTGCTTGCAATTTCGAACACCAAAGCTACTGTCATGTGATTCTGCCTCTGCACGGGGAGGAGTTGCTTCAGCCTCTGGTAGCTGACATGCTCCAAATGTCATGTTAGCCTGCACAAATCCAAATTCATTACTCTATAAGCAAACTCAAGAGGGAGAGAAAAATTTATGTGTCTCATGTTAATTTCTGAAAACCTTGCAGGTGGCCATGTTTTCACATCCACATACTAGATGACCATTAGCAACATCTATTGCTTCTGGGGCTCCTCCTCCGTCGCTCCTCTGAAACATCAATGTAATAACAAGTTAACTATCTTTCTTTATAAGTTGGCAATACCAATCATGGTTCTAATTTTGTAACACCTTGTAGAAATCAACAGCAATGAAATTAGGCCAACGTTTGCCACTTTCTCCATAGCATGTATTGACCATGTTAAGCAAAGGACCTGAATTGTCTTTGCAAGACTTAGTTACATCTGGAAGATCTCTAAAGAAGTTCACTAGAACCAAAGATCTTGATGTTGTGTTCATAGATGGTGACTCTGCACGATTTGGACATGCACCAGCCTTCATTCCTCCATCTCCATCTGCAAATCGCATTCCAAAACCACATTAGTATTTGCTTGAGAGAAAGTACAAAGAATACACCATTTTTTATGTAGTTTGTAATATGATTGATTATAATATAGTATGGTTCATACAAATTTATGATTTTTCATAAAGTTTAATGAATAATAAAATTATGATTAGAAAAATGTCTTAAAGGTTGGGTCTAACATTTCTTTATCCATACTTTTGTTTCCACGGTGATCTTAAATGTTATGAAGTTGAACTTACATTGGTTTTCTACTAAATATCGCCATTCATAGGCTATCCCTTCAGAAGATTCTTTGGATGCTTTTGAGGTGAAGACTACTAAACGCTGATTCTTCTTGACCATATCATCAATTGTTGGCCAGTTTCCACCATTTTTGGGCATTCTAGACACTGGAAACCAGTATTTTCTCAGTCCAGCAGCATCAAACACTTTTGTTAAGCCTTTTGGAGATGTCACGTAATCCTCAATTAAAATGGTAACAATCTCTGATGGGTTTGCCTCTAGAAACACCTGAATCTCTTTGAGAACATTGATGGCAGGTTGCTGTATTATTCATATTTCACACAACTATTGATAACCAGAATTCATAGTCCAGAGAAATACAATTTTTTGTATCATTAATTTGGAACACCAACAACTAAGCTATTTCTCACTTACAAAAGCTGTGTAGTTGTAGCACTGGCCACCAAAAGAGTGACACAGCCAAACATCATTCTGGAAGTCGTACATGTCAAGCATCAACCCTCGAACTCCATTCTACAAGACAAATCTGAAATATAAGCATAAGGTGCCAAAGTTCTTGAACTGAAAAGTAAATTCAAAAGGAAGAAATCATTTTAGATTCCTCTTAAGTGAAATGTGAAATGAAATGTAAATTCAAAAGGGATCACTTCTCTTTCATCCACTATGTACTATATGTATCTTCGATTGTAAGAGTATTTTAAAGAAAATGAGTAATTTCCACCAAGTTACCAGTTGTTTTCTTTTTTTTAATGTTAGAATACAAATTAGATGTGTTTCCTGTTTCACTTAAAAAATGTTTGAACTTTGATCCATTTGTTCATATCTGTTGTGCTACCAACAACTCTAAACGTGTCATTGAAAAAAAGTATTCAAAATAATTAGCTTTTCACACTAGGGTCCTAACTAATTAGGTTAAACTAGTAACAAATGGAAACATTCAACCATGAGCAAAATAATCCTAATTGTTTAGTCATATTAATATATAATTCCCACATGCAAGACATTATTTAGGAAAACAGATAAAGCCAGCCATCATCCTAACTGGTTTCAACAATGTAAGCGTCCATCACTAAAGAAACAAAGAAAAAATTCATTTCACATTATAACCAACCACCTTCAGACTTTTTCAGTTTTAAAGAATTGAAGAGAAAGATAGTGGGGACCTTCTGTCCTGTTGCAATGGGCAGAAAGCAGAAACTTTACTTTCCCGGTAAGTAGAATGGACACAATGAGAGACACGACAAATGATCTCCAACTGCTTCAAATTTCAAAAATCTTTCCCTTTCTTAACTTCCACTTTTCTGGAATTCAAATTTTTTTTTTTTCAAAATACAAGTGCAAAACTTCGATATACTTATTAAAAATTCTGGACATTGTTCTCTAATTAAAACAAAGCTTGATATTTTATTCTATCAATTAATCAAAAATCATTTTGAATATAACTGTTAAAAAAGTTTATCTTATTTTAGGCCATGTTCTATTCATATACTTCTTATTGATGAAGAACATTAAGAGATAATAAGTCCATACAAAATTTTTCAGTTCAAGAAAAATGATGTAACAGAACAAAACCCACATTAAGTTGGCTTGTGATGGAGTCCTGCTGATTGGTGGGAGCAAGAATAACAGAACCCGTCATTGATTTCTGACCCAAAATCGCAAATGAATTATGCGTCGTCAGCCATGAATACCGATTAAACGGCAACCCTTTTACCTGTTCGAAAACCGAAAGCTTCATCACACACCACTTTCACGTCACAACACAACAAAACTCAAAAAGCACAACAAAAACAATAAAAAGGTGAGACCTTTGAAGTGGGGTTGATAGGTTGAATGCGAGTGCACCTTGGTCGCACGTTCCCATTGGCCACGCACGTTTCGCAGTGCAGACCCGCGTCGCAGTTCCTGTCTGCTACGCATGTTTGTCCTTCCTGTTTAAGAACGTAGAGATGGGAGACAAGTTCATCGAAGAGAGAAGCAAAAACGGTTATCGAAAAGGGTTAAAGTTGTTGGTTTGTACCTCGAGAGCGAGCGAGGAATGGACAAGGAGCAAAACGGCGAAAAGGGTTGTCGCAAGTGTTGGCTTCTGCGAGAAAGAAAGAGAGGAAAGTGAAGTGTGTGTGTGTTTGGAACAGAGAAAAAACAGAGGAGGATGAAGAAGGAAGAAAGGGAGGTAGATACCTGCATGATGATTATTTGTTGTGTTGATTGTGTGAGAGGAAAGATGAGATATTGTCCCTTTATCTGTCAATTACATAGATTGAATGCGAAATTTGAATTCCGAAGAGTGCAACATGTGAGCTGAACGTTAACTATTTTGTAGCAACTTTCTCTGTCATGGTGTTAACTAATCATCTTCTTCTAACCAACTTCACCCCTTCAATAGAGACACAATATTTTTTTTTATCATAATCTATAATTTGAAATATGATTATTATTTATCATTGTCATATATAAAAATATTTAAATCAATTTTAGATGGGATTACAAAAATCATATAAATTTATACACGTTACACATCTAAGAACATATTCTTAGAAAAGGAAAACTAAACACACACTAATTTCATTGAATTTTTTTTTGTAGATTTTTTTCCCTATACATGCATAGATATATAAACATGTAACTACGACAAAATCATGAATAAACTAAAAATAGGATGTTGATAAATGGCGTGGCTTTGAAGTTACAAATATTCAGGGTCCTGCAGTATTAATGTTATGCGTAGAAGTAACTGTTGTTTCTTCGTACAAGAAAAAGAGAGAGGAGTTTCTATCTTCATTCGAAGCTTACTTGAAGCAACACTTCAGGAAATCTTTTCCTTCCTTTTGCTCTGGCGTAGGGTTCAAACTGCATTGCTTCATTTCATAATCAAGGTTTCGCAACAACATTCTTTACTTTTTAACAATTTCCATGTCAAACTGTTTCCCTTCGTGAAAAAGCACAGGCACATTTTCTGTAACTTTCTTCCAAAAATAAAACTGAAATTAACTTTTTATTTTTTCAGTTTACTTATTTTGATTTAACCGGTTAAGAGTACTATTATATAACTTCTTTTAACTTTTTAGTTTAAACTTACACATAAATTAATTTTAAATTATAAAAAAATTATTTATTTTTCTTTTTCATATAAATTTATTAAAAAATTCATCACAACATATTCTATAATATATATATATATATATATATATATATATATATATATATATATATTGCATATTATCAATTAATAGTATGGGTTGTAGCATTCAAATATTTTTTTTAAGATGATTGACGATAAAATTCTGTCCATAATTTTATTGTTAGTAAATTTTAATGGTAAGATAATATAAGTTCGTTAATAAACCTACTATTATCACTAATTTAAAAATGTGATTTTATATTGGTAAAATGATATTGGTTGACAAAAAATTGATGAAAAAATAAATATGTAAATATGTTGATATATCGTATATTTGTTAATCTAATATATATTTTTAATTAAGGTGTGAATTTGATAGATTTTTTTATAGTAAATGTTTCCTTTATTACACAAAATTTTAGTAATATTTCATATTGATATTTAGGTAACACAAAATGAGATTGGTCACATGAAATCAATCATAATCAAATTATGTGTTAAAATAAAATGTAATAAATAAAAAGTTTATAAAACATATAAAATGTTGATTAAAATTAGAGATGTCAAAATAAGTTTAACTCGATAGGTTAACTTGAGAAATAGGTTAAATTAGACTAAATAAATTATGATTTAAATTTAAAATCAAGCATAATTTGTTTTTACTTATTTAGATTATGATCTACATGAGTTTTGTTAAGTTAGTTTGTAAACTTATGGATGGACTTATTTTATAAAATAATAATTATTTTTTAAAAATAAAAATAATATTATTTTATTAAAAAATATATGTATTATAAATTAATTTGACATGAAATTCATTTATTTTAAGAATAAATATCAAAATAAGTATGTAACGGTTAAGATAAAGTATTGTTTTAGATCAATAAATTACTAAAAAATAATGAAAAATAAGTTTTTAACTCTTATTTTAAGATTAAATGAATTCATTCTCTTGTAATTTATATATTAAATTATTATATCTTAAATAAAAATTAATTTTATTAATATAATTTAAATTTTAGAAATATTTATTATATATATTTTTTAATTAATTATTTTGATATAGATACGTTAATAAAAAAAATAATTTTCAATCAAACAAAAATTAATCATTAATCCATTAACCAAATATAAGGCAAAATTATGGTTCATTCTAAAATATAGGTCAGGTTAAATCCTTATCATATAAGATTAAACAATACTAGGTCAGATTACCCGTTTTAACAAATTAAATATATGTACTAATTAATAATTAAAATGTGATTAATTTTTTTAATTTGTCCAATCGAACAATTCAAGATTAAATTCAATCATTATCATTAATTCCTCATCTCATGTTACATAGAAGAAATAAGGACATTTTAAAATGGAGGTAGTAGTTTGTCTTTTTCAGTGAATCTCAACGAAGAAATAAGGTTCACTCAATAAATTTTATCATATAAATTTTTTAAACATAACACATATAATGTGCACTTCATAAAATTAAATGATACCATTTGTTGATGGTCAAACACCCCTCAAATTCAACACCAATATGTTTATATTTGAATTGAAACCTATACAGTACAAAGATTTCTCATCACTTTTTAAATCGATTATTTCAAATTGATATAATGTGTATGATATCTTTTACGATGCTTCTTTCATTTCTATAAGCACGATGTATGGGCTTTTTCACATTGGTGAAGTTTTTGTATCTAGGATATACAAATTTCATAAGCTTGTCAACAATACTAATATTTGTAAATATTGAGGTAAAAAGTGAGTGAATTGATAAAACTTCACTGAATGAAATACTGTAAGAAGATAATAAATTACTCACTTGACACCACTAGATAAAAAAGATATTGTATATGACATGGAAAATCCTTTTACGTCTTTTTTTATTTTTATAACAACCACATTTCACATCATTTATACTTATAAATGTGTGGACTTTCTATATCAATTTATAATTGAAGTAAAAAGTGACTTATATTTAAATTTGATTTCATCATTTATTTATTTAATTTTATTCTCATATTTACTTTTATCTTTATCTTTATATTTATCATTAATTTTATTTATCTTTATTTTATCTCTTATCTTCATCTATCTATCTTTTACTTTATTTTTATTTTATTTGAAACAAAATATTTGTTTTTACAAAACTTAAATGGATAAACAAATGTGTTTTAACTTTAGTACTGGATAGTCCCTAAGATTCAATAATTTTTTGTCTGCTACTGGAAACTTGTTATATTTTTCAAAATTATTAAGTTTATCGATGAGGTGCATAAGAGGCATTGAGGTATGAGTTGTCCTTTTCAAAATAATGTTATTATTAGGATGACAACCTATTAAAAAAATATTTATATATTAAAATAAAAATAAAAAGAATTATAATTAAAAATATTATATTTTTCATGTTATTAAAATATTATAATATTATAATTTAAATTATAAAAATTAATTAATTAAGTTTAAATTATTGATTATAATGAATTATTTTAATACATAAATATAATAAATTTTTAATTTATTTAATAAAAATACAAATCAATAAATAAAAGCTTAAAAATCATTCATGTAATTAAAATATATTTTTTTAAAATACATATAAAAAATCTTATATAAAAAAAATGATTTGAGAGTTGGGTCATAAGTTTGTTATTTGGCGAGATAAATTGCGATTTGTATCTCGTTTTGATTATGGCGGGTCAACCTGTCCCGCCTCGCCCTGTCCCATTTTTTACGGACTAAAGACGGGACGAGTAAAAAATGAAGCGAGCTAACCCATTTTGTCATTCCTAGTTATAATAAAGGTAGTTATTAGGCCTCCATTAAATCATGTCTTTGAATATCTCTTAATAGAATGAGATGTAGTATTTATATGAGATATTGGACCATTTGTTTATGAGCCTCTAGTTGGACACCAAAAAATATATCATCCAATGACACTCTTATGGTTCTATTCTCACACATAATGATATATAATGAAGAACTTCCTTTTATAGTAATGAAACAATATTTATTCCCAACATAATGTTGTGATATATAATTAACAAAGTAACAATATGTTGTTTTTTAGATGACCATAAAACAACACTTTTGCACATCATAAATACATAACTAGAAATATGTGTTCTATCATCTTAATCACTTGCATAATCATTGTCAAAAATCTCAATAAATTGGATTTTTTTACCTTTTTTTATAAAACAACCCAAAATCTTTAGTTGCTTGCAAATAGAGAAGGATTATATTTCTAGTCAACAAAAGTATTTTTGTAAGATTCTCCATATATCTATTGATAATAGGAAATACTATATCTAGTAATGTTGTAGTTAAATACATCAAACTCCAAACAATTTGCTTATAAAGTGTATTGTTAACCCTTTTTCCTTCAAAATCTTTATAAATATTAAGATCATGTTCCAGTGGAGTATTTATTGGATTGTAATCTTTCATTTAAAATCTATTCAAAACATCTCTCACATATTTCTTTTGTAAGATAAAAATTTTATCAATTGATTGAATTATTTTTATATCGAGAAAGTAATACATCAAGTCATGATCACTCATTTCAAACTCATCAATTATAGATTTCTTAAAGTTCTCAAACATGAAATTGCAATTTTCAATAAAAATAAAATAATCAACATACAAACAAATCATAATCAATTTACTTTTATCTTCAATTTTTACAAAAAGTGTGTGCTCAAAAGCACACTTTGTGAATCCTACTTTAAGGAATAAGATTCAATGTGACTAAGTCATGCTCATGGAGCTTGTTTCAATATGTAAAGAGCTTTCTTTAATTATACACTTTATGTTCATTTCTAGTCTTGACACAACCCGATGGTTATTTAAGAAAGACCTACTCCTTCAAGTACTTATACAAGAGTGTTGATTCAACATCTAATTGGTAAATAGACCAAACATTTCTAGTTACTAAAGCAACTATTAATTGGATTGTATCATGTCTTGCAATTACAAAAAAAAACTCTTGTATAATTGATCACATATTGTTGCTTGTAACCCTTTGCTATCAATCGTGTCTTGTATTTGTTAACTTTATTATTTTCTTTTAGTTTTGTCTTAAATACCTATTTTACACTAGTGTTACACTCTTTAGGATGATCACATAACTTTCATGTATCATTTTTCTCAATACATTTAGGAAAAATGAAAAAAACTAATTTTCTTAATAATTCTTGAGGTGGGAGTGCAAACATATCCAATGCACTAAAACAAATACTTGAAGTGGAAGATATTGTAGTGGAAGTCATCAGATTTCACAAAAGTGTTAGGAGGGTTGCCGTCGAACGTGATGATGACTCACATACGACTTATGGAACATGCCACATTTTCGGGGAAGGTGAGGAGTGGTGAGTGTGGGGAGGATTTGGTGGGGTGTTCGGGTGTTGTTGGAGGATGGAGAGGGTAAGCTCAAAAAAGTTTGGTAGACGATGTATGTTATGAGTTGCTTCTTTACATTATTGAGTTCCATCTAGATCTACCTGAACTTGTGTTGGAGAATGGAGATGAAACCCACACAACTATAGATAGTGTCCCTAAGATACACATTGGTCTCATACACAAGGAACATTCATCTTCATTTGGGGAAAAACAAAATTTTCATAAAATCATGTATTTATTCAAAGTAAATTTACGTCATCTCATTACTTTAACATAAATTTACATATTTCACACTATCGTCAGAATTTAATAAGATATTAAAAGCTTAAAAAAA